CACGGGTTCGTGACGTCCTCGATGCACTTCCACGTCTGGGTCACCTTCTTCACCCGCTTCTCAGGCGGCTGGAAAATTTCGATCAGGTAGTGATCAGGTAGTCGTCGTTGCCGCCGCGCTCGGGCGTCGTCTCGGCTTCGGTGCGCGTGGCCTCGGCCTCTGCCATGGCTCCCGGCGGGCTCGGGGTCGGCGGGCTCGGGGGGGGTATACGGGGCGGGCCCCGTCTCGGCTTCGGCGCGCGCGGCCTCGGCCTCTGTCATGGCCCTCGGCAGGAGCGGGGGAGTACGCGGGGCGCGCCTCGTCTCGGCTGCGACGCGCGCGGCCTCGGCCTCTGTCACGGCTCTCGGCAGGAGCGGGGGAGTGCGCGGGGCGCGCGAACGCGGGCTTGACATCAGACCGCAGATTTGGGCCACTGGCAAATGTATGCACTCATATCACTTATGCGGGGTCAGAGCGGATGCGCGCACCGTTTCAGCGGGTGAGCCGCTATGGCGAAACCAAAATGACGATGCCAAAAAGGCGGATGCATGTGATTGTGATGATGTCGATGCGGGTGTAGGAAGGAGGACTGACATTTGTTGCCCAACCATCCTGTGGTGTTGGGCCCTCGTTTTGGCGAGACAACGCCCCGCGTTCACCTCCTCCTCCCGCTGCCCCCTCCTTCGTCATCTTATCATCATCATCGTCATCATCATCATCGTCATCATCGACGTCACCACCACCATCATCATCGTCCTCATCGTCATCACCCATTTCGGCACACCCCTCACACGCTTCGTGGCCCCAGAAGGAGCTCCACCGAAGGCCCCAGTAGCAGGCTTCGCACGGCGGCCTCGGGCCATTTCGGCACACCCCTCACGAGGACCGTGGCCCCATAGGGAGCTCCGCCGAAGGCCCCAGTGGCAGGGTTCGCCTTGCGGCCTCGGGCCATTTCGGCACAACCCTCACGAGGACCGTGGCCCCATAGGGAGTTCCACCGAAGGCCCCAGTGGCAGGGTTCGCTCGGGCCATTTCGGCACACCCCTCACGAGGATCGTGGCCCCACAGGGAGCTCCACCGAAGGCCCCAGTGGCAGGTTCGCATGGCGGCCTCGGGCTATTTCGGCACACCCCTCGCGAGGGTCGTGGCCACTTAGGGAGCTCCACCGAAGGCCCCTGTGGCAGGGTTCGCATGGCGGCCTCGGGCCATTTCGGCACACCCGCCACGAGGATCGAGGCCCCATAGGGGGCCCCACCGAAGGCCTCAGTGGCAGGGTTCGCATGGCGGCCTCGGGCCATTTCGGCGCACCCCTCACGAGGACCGTGGCCCCATAGGGAGATCCTCCTCCGTAGGGAGTTCCTCACCGAAGCCGACGAGAACACGTCGCATGGCGGCCCTCGGGCCATGTCGGCACACCCAAACACACGAGGAGAGCATCGTGAGCCCTGTCTGGATCCACCGAAGGCCCAGTGGCCAAAGGTGCGCAAAAATGCTGCCTGGCCAGTGTGCGGCACACCCGTCACTAGACCGTGGCCCATAGGGAGCTCCACCGAAGGCCCAGTGGCAGGGTTCGCATGGCGGCCTCGGGCCATTTCGGCACACCCCTCACGAGGATCGTGGCCCCATAGGGAGCTCCACCGAAGGCTCCAGTGGCAGGGTTCGCATGGCGGCCTCGGGCCATTGCGGCACATACCTCAACCGCGGCCCCATAGGCCCTCCACCGAAGGCCCCAGTGGCAGGGTTTCGCATGGGCGGCCTTGGAAGCCTCGGGCCATTTCGGGCACACCCGGCCACGAGGATCGAGGCCTTCATAAGGAGTTCCACCGAAGGCTCCAGTGGCAGGGTTTCCGCATGCGGCCTCGGCCATGTCTGCACACCCCTCACGGGGGATCCGACCCTGTGGAAGCTCCACCGAAGGCCCCAGTGGCAGGGTTGGCATGGCGGCCTCGGGCCATTTGGCACACCAATCACGAGGATCGTGCCCTGTCGGGAGCTCCACCGAAGGCGCCAGTGGCAGGGTTCGCATGGCGGCCCGGGCCATGTCGGCACACCCCTCACGGGGACCGTGGCCCCATAGGGAGCTCCACCGAAGGCGCCAGTGGCAGGGTTCGCATGGCGGCCTCGGGCCATTTCGGCACACCCCTCACGAGGATCGTGGCCCCATAGGGAGCTCCACCGAAGGCCCCAGTGGCAGGGTTAGCATGGCGGCCTCGGGCCATTTCGGCACACCCCTCACACGGTTCATAGCATCATAGGGAGCTCCACCGAAAGCGGTACCCACCACGCGGTGCCCACCACGCGGCCCTTCGCCCATGGACGACGGCGAGGGCCGAACCCAATCCTCAACAATATGAAGGGTCACGGTGAAAGTGACCTTCTTCCAGATCCTGCCCTCGGTGTCACGAGTGGAAATGCCAGCGCGTACATCGTGAGAAGGGCATCCTTCAACCACGCGTGGTTGAAGGATGCCTTTCTCGCGATGCACCAGGCCACCTTGAGGGCCGTCTTGAATCATCAGGGGCCATCTTGGGAACCGCTCGGGGCCAATCCTGCTGGTTTCGTGGCCCTCCCCCCGTCGCTCCCCCATGGGCCCCAATCGGGGCCTGTCGCCCGTGACGCCCCAGAGTGTTTGGCGTCGGGCGCGGCCCCGTCGAGCGCCCATTGGGGGGAGTGACACCGAGGCCCTAGGGGGGGCCTGCTCGGAGCCCGAGCCTTCTCCGCCCCCCCCCCCCGATGCCGCTTTGGCACTGGATCGAACGGCGCCCTTTACTGCGCGAGGGCGCGAGCGGCATCCTGCGACGCGCGATCCGCGCGATGATGGACGCCACGTACGCTGCCGACACATGCAACTACAACGGCACGTGGGCCGATGCAACGTTGGCGACCTTCCTGTTCGAAGCTGAGTGCTACCCAGCCGCCCTCGATGCATGCATGAGGCTGCGTCTCGACCCGCGCACCGTCTGGGGCGACTTCGGCCACTTCGCTTTCATGGCATCAGAGTGCGGGTTCGAGCCGTCCGAGCAGGCCCGCGCCCACTATTGCTGGATCTTCGCCGACATCGATGCGCGCATGGAGCAGCTGCCAGCGGCCGCCAACAAGCCCGACGGCGCCTCCGACGACAACAAGTACGACGGCACCCCCGACGGCAACTCCGACAGTAAGCCCGACGGCATCTCCGACGGCCAGCCCCGCGCACCAGCAGGACCTTTGGCCGCGCCCTCGTCCTCAGCACGGTTGTTCCGCGTACCAGCAAGACCTTCGGCCGCGCCCTCGTCCTCCGCATCGCACACAGGGCATCGCCGACAGGGCAGCGGCTGGCATCGCGAGAGGGCGGGCAACCCAAAGGGGCCGCGTTGGGGCGGTAGGGGCGGGACGACGCCTGCCAACGCGCAGTGGCATTCGGGTCTGCACAAGGCTCGGCGCGAGGGCTGGGAAGCCGAGCGCAGGAGGCTTTTCAAGAAGCCGCCCAGTGCGGCTCAGAAGTAGGCGGTACTCGCAGCTTCAATTCGACTTCGGTGCTGCTTCGGCACTGGCTGCATCAACTACAAAAAAATAGCCCTCGCATCCCCGTCCTCGTCGTCCTTGCCGTCGTCGTCGTCGTCGTTGTCCTCGGCGTCCTCGTCCTCGTCCTTGTCATTGTCCCCGTCGTCGTCGTCGTCGTGGTCGTCATCGTCGGCCCCCATCCCCCTCCACCGCAAACTTCGCGGCTTCCCCGCTCTCGCGTGTGGTGTTTCAGCGGCTCCCCCGCTATGTTGTGTTTCAGCTGAGTTTATATTATGCGAGGGCATCATATTCGAAACTACGAATATTGCGATTGTGAGTTCAATTCGGAACGTGCGAATATTCCGATTGTGAGGATGTCTTCAGCCATTCGCCCGAAAACGCCTTGCTCTGCTGCCACCAATTCCCCTGCTACCAGGTCAGGGGGAGGGAGGAGGGGAACGTGCAGGAGGCGAGGGGGGATGTAGGAGAAGAGGCAGGCAGACGACGACGACGACGACGACGACGACGACTCGACGACGACGACGGCAACGGTTGCACCGACCCCCAAACAGCGCTTGCACGGCAGGCCGATCATTGTGGTTGGGTTTAGCAGGGCCGAGCTGCGGGCCGATATCGCACAGATCAGAGTGGCCCGATCACTCCCAGTCCTCGACGATCTCGTATGTGACCATCGATGGTCACATACGAGATCGTCTGATCAGGCTGACCTTCTTCAGGCGCAAACCGACGGACGGGTGGTCTGGCATGATCGGGTGCACCAGTTTCTCGAAGGTCGTGCGAAGCCCGATTCGTGTACGAAAAAGCTGTAGCATATGTTCGACTGCATCGATGCAGTCGAACATCTGCTACAGCTTTTTCGTCCGCTTCTCGGGCGCAGGGGTTTCGATCGGCTCATCGGTCGGGTCGAGCAGCGCACTCGATCGGCTCCCCGATCGGCTTCTCGATCGGCTTCTGCCACTGCTAGCGGCCGATCGCGCGGGCTCCTCCATGGTCGCCCGCTCAGGCTCCATGGCCATGCACCCGAGTGGGATTCGGTACAGCAAATTAGAAAGCGAGCGCTCGTGAGTCAAAGACATGCGGAGGAGGACGAGGGAGAAGATGATACTCATCATGATTGGGGTGGTGGCGATGTGGATGATGAGGAGGATGGTGAGGATGTTGATGAGGATGATGAAGATGACGACGACGATGGTGCGCTGCTTTGGCGAAACAGAACATATTGCGCGCATGGGGCGGCACCGCCGCATCGCCAGGTGTGACAGGGGATGCTTACATTGACTTACGAGGAGGGGGCATGTGGCGGAAGGGTGCATAGCAGCATCGCTGATGCATCCTGGGTTCTCTCTGGTCGTTGGCCCTCCTCCCCGCCTCCCTATCCGTCTCGTCCTCCTTCCCCATCCGCGCCTTCCCCCCCCCCCCCCCCTCCCCGCGCCTCTCCCGACCCCGTCCTCATCGCCCTCCTCCCCTAGCGGTGCCACCGCTGCAGCGGCTTTTCCGCTGGCCCAAGGGCAGCGACCATGTCGCAGACACTGATGGCGCGCATTGGCGCCGTGCGACTTCTCCTGCAGGACATGACTGGCTCGCCTCGCCACGGGTCCATATCGCAGGTGCAGGCGAACGCCTTGGAGACCCTGGTTGCGAGGAACAAGCAGGTCTTTCTGACGACCAGAAGGCGAGTGCAGCGGCTCTCGTCTCCCAGGTGAACTGGCACGGCCACCGCGGCCTGAACGTCTTGCAGGCCCTGGCGCCCAGTGCACATGGGCCGATGGGCCCCGCGCGGCAGCGCGCGAAAAGCCAGAACTTCTTGGCCCTGATGAACCACGTCGCAGCGGCAGGATGGGACCGCCTGCTCGAGGAAGGGGTTCCACCGAGCGCAGTTCAGACCATGCTGGCGCAGCGCATCATTCGCCTGGGGGGGGGCGTGCATGCGGGCGAGTTTTCGCTGAAGCTCGCTAACTCGGCCTGCGTGCTCATCGCCGTGCCCGATCGGGTCGAGACCATGTCCTACTACGGCAAGAAGAAGTACTTCGACAACTTTAAGACGGCGTACCACCGCGTGGCGGAGATGTCTTCGCGGCCCAGCGCCTATATGCTGGAGCTCCCGCAGACGCCTCAGGACCTCCTGGCGTCGTTCCCGACGGTCTACCATGCCGCGTTCTCGGCAAAGCCTGGGGGGGGCCTAGCCGCGTGCCCATTGGACATGCGACTCCTTCGAGACTTGGAGGCGTCCTATCGGCACCGCGGTGCCGCGCCCGCCTGCTCGGACCGCGCCAGCGGCGCGGCGTCGCAGGAGCTGGCCACCAGGGCGCCTCCGAACCAGATGGAGCAGTACATGCAACAGCAGATGCAGCAGATGACGCAGATGACGCAGATGATGCCGATGGCTTTCGGCGCGGCGGCGGGAAGCGTGCGAGGAGGCCAGAGCGCGGCGCCGACAGGGGGCGGCGAACTCTTGGACAACCTGTCGGTGTTCGGCGCGAATCGGCGCCTTGGTAGACACCCTGCTCTCGCCGCGACGGGCGCGGCTCGCGCGGGCTCGAGCGATGCGTCGGCGAGCCTTCCACAGGCCGCGGCGCCGACCGCGGGATCGCAGCGCGCCGGCCCGCCCAACGTGACATCGTCAGCAGAGGGGTCGCAGCAGATCGCGGCGTCGGCAGCGGCGCCCCCGACCCAGCCGCAGCCGATCGTGGCGTCGGCAGCGGCGCCCCCGACCCAGTCGCAGCCGATCGCGGCGTCGGCAGCGGCGAGCGCGCCGCCAGCCGCTGAGCCAGCCGTCGAGCTCGCGCGGCCCTTGAGGATGGACATCGAGACACAAGTCGAGGTGGCCATGAACATGATGTTGCATAAGAAGAATACGAAGCAGGCGAAGAAGCGCCCAGCGGCATGCCAGGCGGCCGACGAGCGCGAGCAGGAGAACGAGGACGGTGAGCAGGAGGAGGTGGGGGACCAGCGTTCGTCGCCGAAGGCCAGAGGACGGCCAAAGGTGAAGACGGCGGCGAAGCCGAAAGCCAAGCCTAAGGACGCGGCGACAACGACGCCCATGTCCAAGCCCAAGGTCCAGGCGCTCATTTCCGACATTGTTGCGTGGACGAGCTCGGACGGGAGCGTCAACAAGAACACGTTCGCATCGAGGATGTACTCCAGGGCCAAGAAGCGGGCAGCTGACGACAAAGCCCAGAGGAAGAGGCGGTGGGTGGTGGGGGGGGCTGTCGCCCGCGGGCGAACACTTGGGTGCCCTTTCCTGCCACATCGCCAGCATGAGCATGTTATCATTACGTTATCAGCCTTGTTATCAGTGTTATCAAGCTCGCTATCATTGTTTTCAAGGTTATCAGATAACACCGTGATAACGGGTATCAGATGTTGAGAACGCGCGTGATAGCGATGATACCATGTTATCCCGTCGCTTGATAACGCTGATAACACGAAGTGCGAAGCATTCGCGTTACCAGAAATGCATGATAACGGTTTTCATATGTTACCAGGTTGTTATCACATCCCTTGATAACGCGCCTGGTAACGGTGATGACGGCCCAGATAACAGTGTGATAACGGGTTGGTAACGGCCCGATGCGCCATTCTGGCATCCTCTTCCCCTCCCTCCCCCCCTCCTCCGAATCATGTTCCTCCTCCCCAGCGGTCTTCCGCTGGCTCGAGCGGCGCCTCCGCTTCGCGGGTTGCCACCTACCCGGGAGCGGCTCGCGCCCGCGCGCGGCGCGACAGGAGACCGAGATGGCCACCGCTAGCGATGTCGACGACACCACGAGCGCGATCTGCCTGCAAGTGTTGCTGAACGGCACGGAGGTTCGGACGCTCGGCTGCCTTCGCAAATGCTGCGCTTACTGCGTGGACATGCACCTCGAAGTCCACAACATGCAGTTCGACGATTTCCCCTGCCCGCAATGTCGAACGACGGAGCGGGCCCTGGGGAGGGCGGAGGCGGCGCTGACAGGCAGCCCGCCCGACGCCGCCGACGACGCCGACGAGGTCGAGACCATCGTCGCCGACATGGCGCCGCCCAGCAGCCCGCAGTTGCGGCGTATGCCGCAGCCGCCCCAGGAGACGCAGATTGTGCCCGCTGCGGCGGTGGGCGGGGCGGGCCCGGTGCCACCGCCAAGCCCAGCGTCGCCGCCGAGCGCAGAGGCGAGGCCCACGGCGGCGGCGAAGCCTAAGGCGGGGCCAAAGGCGAAGCCAAAGCCGAAGCCAAAGGCGACGGCGAATCCGAAGCCGAAGGCCAAGCCGAAGGCGAGGGTGGCGGTCAGCTGCGTCTTGAGCACGATGGCGCCGCGGGGCGCCGACGACCCGCCCAACGCAGCGGGCGCCCCTTCCGAGGCGCCCGAGGACGCGCCGCCGCTCGATGGCGACGCCGCCGCCGAGAAGCCCCCGCCCGGGGCGCCTTTCCCAGAGTTGCCGCCGCCGCCGCCCGCCCAGATGCGCCCGGAGCCGACGATGATCACGCGCCCCACGTTCATGCGTGACGTTCGGTTGCGACGCGGGTGGTGCAACGAAGAGGTAACTGCAGACCGGGCCCAGTTGAGGGGCAAGTCGCAGCAGAAGTACAGGTGCGACCGTTGCAATGTCCACATCGCGCAGCTTAGCCGCGAGTTCGGCGAGTTCCCGAGCAGCGACTTCCAGCGCCTGGGCGAGGACACGCAGCAGGCCTTCTTCAAGGACGTGCGCGACGTCTCCAGCGGGAAGGTGGTGGTGGCCAAAGTCAAGGAGTTCCTTCGGAGCTACGAGAATCACGTGGACTACTACGCCGAGGGAGGGGAGTTCCCCCCCTCGGCGCGCGGGGCACGCGCGGCTTCGATGCCGCGCGCATCGAGGCCAACAGCCTGGAGAAGGGCAAGAGGCAGCGCAGGGTCTCGGGCGCAACGTGCCGCGTCCCGATCCTGTCTGGAGGCCATCGTGGAGCCAGGGGCACCGAGCGGTCCCACGTCGCCGAGGCCTCGCACCCCTCCAAGGAGATCAAGAGGACGACGGTCGCTGACGCCGACGAGGAGCCTGATGAGGGGCCTTCGGACGACGACGACTCGGACTCCAGCTCGGACTCGAGCAGCAGCTCGGACGACAAGAAGAACAAGAAACAGAAAAAGGCGAAGAAGGCGAATAATCAGAAACAAATAGTACCGCGAAGAAGGAACGGGCCAGGAAGGAGAAGGAGCGCAAGAAGGCGCTGGAGGAGAAGGAGAGGGCCAAGCAGGAGAGGAAGGCCGCCGCCGAGAGCCGCAAGGTGGCGGCGGCGAATGGCAAGTTGGCCGACCGCATCGAGAAAAAAAAGTGACGGGGACGTAGACGGCCGTCAACAGGGAGGTGGGCCATCGCTTGTCCCCTGAGATCCGCCAGAGCATCAAGGATGACATGAACGCGTTCCAGGCCAAGCTGCAGTGCATGTCGCAGGACATCGAGAAGGTCCAGAACGGCGTCGGCAGCGCCATCCGCTACGTGAGCACGACTGCCGAGGCCAAGGTCGCCGCGGCTATTGAAAGCCCCTTTGAGCCTATAACGCACTTGGCAATCCTCCCCCATCCCTCCTCCTCCTCCTCCCTCCTCTTCCTCCTTATGGGCTCTCGTCGTCGCCGTCGTCGTGGTCGTGGCCGTGTTCGGCATCTTAGGGCTCTTCGGGATCGTAGGGCCCTTAGGGCTCGCAGGGCTCATGGGGCTCCTAGGGCTCATCGGGCTCCGACGGATCACAGGGCCCCTGGGGCCTCTTCGGGCTCTTAGAGTTCCGTTTGCCCTTAGGGCTCTCAGGGATCCTAGGGCTCTTAGGGCGCTTAGGAGTGTTGGGGCTCTTAGGGCTCCCAGGGCTATCAGAGCTCTCAGGGCTCTGATGGCCCTTAGGGCGCCGAGGGCGCGCGGGGCTCTGAGGGCTCTTAGGGCTCTTATGGCTCGCGCGGCTTTTCTTGTGGCTCTTAGGGCCCCGATGACTCAAATGTGTCATAGAGCTCTGTTGGTTGCTCTTGGGGCATTTCGGGCTCTGAGGGCCTTGCGACCCTTCGGGCTATTGGGGCCCCTATGATCATACGGGGCCCTCGGGGCTCTTGGGGCTCGCAGAGCTCATGGGGCTCTAAGGACTCTTTGGGCGTCCAGGGCTCTTTGTGCACTAAGGCTCTCAGGGTCCCTATCGGTCTCTTATGGCACTTGGGGCCCTTGAGAGTCTCTGGGTTTCCAGGGCGCGTCGGGCTTTTAGGGCCCTTGGGGCTCTTAGACTCCAGGGCCCTCGGCCCCTGCATTAGATCCCATGGCCCTGGAGACCACTGGCACAGGTGCTGCTTGTGCGTTGGGAGGGCGGGCCGGAGCGAGCGAGGCGGCTTGGGCCAGGGTAGCTACCCTGGAGTGCCCAAGGTATCTCATCATGGCCCCTAGAGGGCCTGAGAGAGCGCAACGTGGTCTCCAAGACGCCCCACCTCTCGGGGCCACATGTGCGCCCTCTCGGGGCCTTCTGAGGGTCTGGGCCTCGTGCCTCCCGGGGCCTTCCTGACCGACGTGGGCCGCAAGCTTCGCACGGCCCAGACCTTGTTGGAGCTGAACGGCCGCCTCGGCGCGGCGTGAAGGTCAGCCCGGTGGTCACGCGCGAGATGATCGTCGACGACTGAAGGGCCATCGGAGGTTGGGGTGCACGACTTCCTCAGGGCCTCTGCTCGCGACGACCGACGACTCGAGCTTTTTGTGCATCAGCATACTTTGCGCGGCCCCGTCGAGGAGTAATTCTTCGACCGAGGGCCGAGGTTGCCGTCGGAACAAGGGCTGGCGGCGCGCCGACCTCGCCCTCTCCCTCGTCGGAAACGGAGCGAGCGGCCCACATCCTCCTCGTCGCTCTCTCCATCCCCCCGTCGTCCTCCCCGTAGTCCTCCTCGAAGTCTTCCTCGTCGGCCATCGCGCCCCTCCACCAACATTCCCGGCGCTTCGCGCGCCCCCGCCAGCCCATCCAGTCCAGAAACGACGCCCAGGCGAGCTGATGAGGGAGGAGGGACAAGGCTGGCGAATAGGACGAGGAGGAGGAGGAGGAGGAGGGCGAGGGGGAGGAAGGGGGGGGGAGAAGGGAGGGGGAAGTTGGAGGAGCTACAACTGGCCTTTGACCAGCTGGGGTGCGGCGAGCGACGCTAACGCCGCCGATGGCAGCCGCTCCAGGCGGCATGTCACCGTCTCCTGGACATTGTTGTTGGGGGGGGGGGGGGGGGGGGGGGTCAGGGGGGCCGAGGGCGAGAGCGATGGGGCGGTGGCGCACTGTGCCGAAGCCCTCGCTGCGGACGCCCCTCGATGGGGAGGGTCGGGCGGCGGTGGGCGGGCGCCCCTGGGGCCATGCTGGGGCCCTGAGTCCCGTCCAGGCAATCTTGGAGCCATCTTGATGCCTCGGAGGGCCGTCGGAAGTAAAATGGCGAGAACGCGCGCCATACCGATTTGCCGTTGGGTTCTGTTCCCAACCATCCTGCGGTGTTGGGCCTTTGTTTTGAAGAGACAGCGCCCGCGTTCACCTCCTCCTCCCGCTGCCCCCTCCATCCTCCTCTTATCATCATCATCGTCATCATCGTCATCATCATCATCGTCATCATCGACGTCATCACCACCATCACCATCGTCATCATCATCACCCATTCCGGCACACCCCTCACACGCTTCGCGGCCCCAGAGGGAGCTCCACCGAAGGCCCCAGTAGCAGGGTTCGCATGGCGGCCTCGGGCAATTTCGGCACACCCCTCACGAGGACCGTGGCCCCATAGGGAGCTCCGCCGAAGGCCCCAGTGGCAGGGTTCGCATGGCGGCCTCGGGCCATTTCGGCACACCCCTCACGAGGACCGTGGCCCCATAGGGAGCTCCGCCCGAAGGCCCCAGTGGCAGGGCTCGCTCGGGCCATTTCGGCACACCCCCCACGAGGATCGTGGCCCCATAGGGAGCTCCACCGAAGGCCCCAGTGGCAGGGTTCGCATGGCGGCCTCGGGCCATTTCGGCACACCCCTCACGAGGACCGTGGCCCATAGGGAGCTCCGCCGAAGGCCCCAGCGGCAGGGCCCCCATGGCGGCCTCGGGCCATTTCGGCACACCCCTCACGAGAACCGTGGCCCCATAAGGGGGCTCCACCGAAGGCGCCAGTGGCAGGGTTCGCATGGCGGCCTCGGGCCATTTCGGCACACCCCTCACACGGTTCGTGGCCTCAGT